CTTTATTTCCTTCCTTCTACTAACTCTGGGTTTCATTTGTTCTTTTTATAGTTCATTAGGATGCAAAGTTTGGTTGTTTGAGATGTTTCTTGGTTCTTAATATAGGCATTTATTGCTGTGAACTTGCCTCTTAGAATTTCTTTTTCCATATCCTGTAAGTTTTATTATGTTGTACTTGTATTTCCATTTTCATTTAGAAGAAATCACAAGGGAAATTAGAACATGCCTTGAGACAAGTGGAAATACGGGATGCGATAAGACAGTGCAGAAAAGAAAATGTATAGTTGTAAATACCTAAACTAAAAAAGAAAGATCTTACATCAACAGTCTAAATTTATGACTTAAAGCAGAAGGAAATAAAAAATAGAGTGGAGATAAGTAGAATTTTTAAAAAATGGAGAAGCAGTAGAGAAAAATCAATGAAACCAAAAGTTGGTTCTTCCAAAAGATCTAAAATAGAGCAAATTTTATCTACATTGACTAAGAAAAAAAGAGTAGATTGAAATTATTTAAATCTGAAATGAAAGTGGTAACATTATTGATTTTACAGAAATAAAAAGGATTCTATGTGAGTACTATGACCAATTATACACCAATAAATTGAATAACCTAGATGTACTGGAATAATTCTTAGAATCACATAACCCACAAAGGTTGAATCATGAAAAAATAAAAATATGAATATACCTATAACTAGTAAAGAGAATGAATCAGTAACCAAAGACCTCTCAACAAAGAAAAGCCCTGGGCGAGATGGCCTCAGTGATGAATTCTACACAATACTTAAAGAATTTACAGCAATTCTTCTTAAACTCTTCCTAAAAATTGAAAGGGAGGGAACCCTAATACTTACTAACTCATTCTATAAGGCCAGCATTACCCTGATACCAAAACCAGACAAAGAAAGTACTATAAAAGAAAACTAAAGACTAATAGTCCCTTCTAATTATTGATGCAAAGATCACCAACAAAATACAATTAAACCAAATTTAGCAGCATATATAAAAGATTATACATGATGAACAAGTAGGATTTATTCTTGGAATATAGGGATGGTTCAACATATGAATATCAATCACTATAATATTACACATTAGCAGAATAAAGAGGAGAAAACACATGGTCATCTCAATTGATACAGGAAAACCATTTGACAAAATTCAACACCTTTCATGATAAAAACATTCAAGACACTAGGAATAGAAAGAAACCACCTCAAAATAATAAAGACCATCTGTGAAAACCTAAAGCTAAGAATATACTCAGTGGTGAAGATGGAAAACTTTTCCCCTAAGATGAAGAACAAGACAGGGACACAATGTCCGCTACTTCCATTCAATATAGTTTTGGAAGTTCAGAGCATCAGGCAAGAAAAAGAAAAGTCAGGCCATCCAAATTGGACAGGAAGAAGTAAAATTATCTCTGTTCTTAGATGACATGATCTCACAGATAAAAGCCCCAAAAATCCTGGTAACAAAAAAGTCTTAAAGCTAATAAACAAATTCAACAAAATTGCAGGATACAAAATCAATACATAAAAAGCAGCTGCATTTTTATACACAAATCATGAGCAATCCAAAAAGAAAATTTAAACAATGCAATTTATAATAGCACCAAAAACAGTAAATATTTAGGAATAAACTTAACCAAGGAGATAAAAACTTGTACACTAAAAACTATAAAACATTAATAAAAGAAACTAAAGACACAAATACATGAAAAAGATATCTTGTGTTCATGGGTTGGAAAACTTAATGTTAAAACTTAATGTTAAGATGTCATTACTGCTCAAATTAATCAACAGATTCAATTCCTATCAAAATCCCAATGACTTTATTTTCAGAAGCAGAAAAATCCAACCTATAATTCATATGAAATTTTAAAGGATCCCAAATGGCCAAAACAATCTTGAAGAAGCAGAACAAAGTTGAAGGTCTCATCAAAACACCATAGTGCTGCCCTGACCCACGTGGCTCAGTTGGTTGGGCATGGTCCCACAAAGCAAAAGGTTGCTGATTTCATTCCCAGCCTAGGTTGTCAGTTTGGTCCTGGTGGGGATACGTGCAAGAAGCAACCAATCTATGTTTCTCTCCCTCTTCTTCTCCCTCCCTTCCACTCTCTCTAAAAATACATAAAAATTTAAAAGAAAACAGTATAGTGCTGCCATAGAGACAAACATATAGACCAATGTAATGAAATAGAATATAGAGACCAGAAATAAACTCTTCATATATGGTCAGATGAAGTGTGCCGAGATCATTCAATGGGAAAAGGACAGTCTTTTCAACAAATGGTGCTGGGAAAATTGTATATCTACATGCAACAGAATGAACTTGGACCATTACCTTACACCATATACAAAAATTAACATAAAATGAACCAAAGACTTAAACATAAGAGTTAAAAGTATAAAACTCTTAGACAAATACAGGGAGGGGAGAAGTTTCATAACAATGTTTTTGGCAGTGATTTCTTGGATCTGACACTAAAAGCAAAGGCAGCAAAAGAAAAATTCGATAAACTGGCTATTATCATACTTAAAAGCTTTTTTTCATCAAAAGGCACTATCAGCAGTAAAAAAAGAAAAGGCAACACACACACACACACACAGACTGGGAGAAAATTCAATTGACCCTTGAATAATACCAGGGTTAGGGGTACCCACTTCCCACACAGTCTAAAATCTGTTTATAACTTTTGACTCCCCAAACGCTTAAGTTATCCCTCATATATACAAGGTATTAGTTCCAGGACAGCCCCTCCACTCCTACCCAGCCCCCCCGCCTGCCCGCACCCCACCACAGATACCAAAATCTCAAGTACCCTGTGTAAAATGGCATAGATCAATGCATACAGTCAGCCCTTTACATCCACAGACTCTCAGCCACAGATCAAAAACAGTGCAAGTATTTGCTGGAAAAAACTGCACATAAATAGACCAGCACAGTTTAAACTGTATTGTTCCAGGGTCAACTATATTTGTAAATCATAAATCTGAAAAAGTATTAATATCCTTAATATATACAAGAGAACCACAACTCAACAAGAAAACACAAGGCCTTGAATAGACATTTCTGTAAAGAGGATATACAAATGGTCATTGTACAAGTGAAAAGATGTTGACCACCACTAGTAATTAGGGAAATGCAAAACACTTGTCATCCATCAGGATTGCTATTATCAAAGAAACAAAATAGCAAGTGTTGACCAAGATGTGGAGAAATTGGAACCCTTATGTACTGTTGGTAAGATTCTGAAATGGCACAACTGCCATGGAAAATAGTACGGAGGTTCCTCAAAATAATTAAACACAGAATTATCTTATGAGCCAGCAATTCCACTTCTGGTATATATGCAGAACTGAAACTAGAGATTTGAAAAGATATTTGTACACTAATATTCATGGTAGCATTACTCACAATAACCAAAAAGTGAAAACAACCCACATGTCCATGAAGAGATGGATGGATAGACAAAATGTGGTATATCCTTATCAATGGTATATTATCCAGCCTTAAAAAAAGAAACTCTATGCTGAAACATGGATGAACCTTGAAAACATTAATTTAAGTGAAAGAAGCCAGACACAAAAAGACAAATACTATATTATTCCACTTAAATGAGGTACCTAGAGTAGTCAAAGTCATAGAAACCTGAAAGTAGAATTGAGGTTACCAGGAACTCAGAGAAGGAGATTAGGAGTTAGTGTTTAATGGGTACAGAGTTTAGTTAGGGATGATGAAAAAGTTCTAGAGATTAATAATGTTAATGGTGTACAACAATATGAATGTACTTAATACCACTTAATTGTACACATACAAATAGTTAAAATCATAAATTTTAACAAATTATGTATATATTTTATCACTTTTTTTTTAAAAAAAACTCCCAGTTGATGTCAAGGGACATTTTTATATTTTTTTTCTAGCCCTCCTGCTTCTTATGAACAATAGGATGACACTGGACCCTTCAGGGGCCATTTCTTTACGGTCTGAGTTCACACTGTCTAGCATCACTTGGTCTGACAAACAGACGAGACTGTTATACTCGGATACAGCAGAAGGAGCGGTAACTGGCTTTGGGATGGTTGCCTGACGTAAGAGACAATCTTTACCTTAAATCCTTCCCTTCAGTGGTTCTTAACCTTTGAAATACTTTAAACATCTGATAAAAGCTAGACTCTTGCTAGAAAAATGTCAATAAACACAAGACTTCTGCTTATAATTTTAAGGGTTTATAGCTCCCCTGTGGTCGCTGGAAAAGTCCAAAGACCCTCAAGTTAAAGACTTTTTGTTCTAAAGTGACCTCCAAGGGATCTCTGTCCTCTTACTCAAATAGCAGATGTCAGCTAAGGGCCTGCTGCTTTCGTATTTCACAGACACTCTTGTTAGGGGTATATCTGTGATAGACTCTGGCCCTCCCAGCTCTAGGGAAAGCTTAACAATCTCCATGAGCACATATCAAGAGACTATAAGCAGCGATTAATTATACATACCCGAATCTGCTTTTGTTCAGCCCTCCCAGGTCTAACCTTGAGAAAATTGAGGCAAAGGAAGGAAAGAAGTAATGCACTTGGTTACCTGAAGGAATTATCAAGAAAACAATAAACCAAATTACTCTTTGGACTAAAGGAGGGACTGAGGGGTTTCTTTATAGATCTTCACCTCTGAAGGTTACCAAGACACTCCTGGCACATTATGCCAAGAAATCTTTCCCATATTCCATCTGGGAGAGGTTGACACGCTCTGACAGGCTCTACACTCCCGGCAGCCATTTGCTAGCAGAATGCTCACAGACCACAGGAAAGCTGACCATTCCACTGTGGCACGAAGAAAACATGCCAGCGAACATTTTTCAGGTGGCCTCAAAATAGGCATGATGAATGATCCGCAAGCCTCAAACAAGACCCTGCGCGTGTGTCCCATGCAGCCTGAGTGCTGCCACCTCCCCCTTGATTTGGCTAACATTGTAGGTGCATATGTCACATTTTTCTCTCCCAGTGCAATGGGCCTTGCATCGGGCCTCACCTCGCTGTGCAACACAGACAAGTCTTCTGCCAGACACTGGATGGCATCACCTTACCATCAGAGCAGTGCAGTGCCCTTCCGAGGTAAGAGAAAACCGTGGACCTCCTTTCCCCAGCCCCTGTGTCAGCACAGAAAGATGATGGTGAATGAATGTTTCTCCCACCTCCCACCGCCCCAGGGATCAAATGCCCTGCCTTTCATCTCAGTTCCCCCTAGGCCACTGGCCTCCTCAAAGGGAGGAAGTTCATTGGTGACCTTACACTTGCCTAAAGGGCCAGGCTGGGCTTTCCCTCCTTGGAGATGAACGGTGCACAGTTTCCTCTGAGGGAAGCCTGATACCACAAGACCTGAACTAGCCCCAGGGTGGGCAGGAGGCCAGGTCCATGAAGCGGCCATCAGATCTTAAGGGCTCTAATAGCCCCTCAATCTTGTTGACCTCCCTCTAGAAGTTATGCTGCCATGAGGGCCTCTATCCTTCAGTCTCTAGCTATTGTCCCTATCTAGACCCCATTTCCTATCATACCTCCTTGTAGATGTTCCTCTGGGGTGAGGGCTCACCACACCATGTAAGGCCCCAGCCCCTGAGACTAGCTCCAGGATCTGCCTCTGCCAACCCACATTCTGGGTAGAGCTCATTCTCAGATCCTGCAGTGAGGCAGACATTGTAGAGACAAGCAGATGGAGTCCCAGTTAAAGAAGGTGGCCTTCTGAGATGTTACAGCCATTCAGTAACAGAACAGAGATCAGAACCCAGGTCTGGCAGCAACAGAAGGAAGGTCCTGAGCTACCCATAATTCCTGGGTTTGCAGTGCTGTTTTCACATTTGCCTGCCACCCTTCTCCTACAGGCCCGTGAGCACCCAGAACTGCTGGTCAGAAGCCTGCAGCGTACACTGGAGGGTCAGCCTGTGGACCCTGTGCACGGCGACCTGTGGCAACTACGGCTTCCAATCCCGGCGCGTGGAGTGTGTGCATGCCCGCACCAACAAGGCAGTGCCTGAGCACCTGTGCTCCTGGGGACCCCGGCCTGCCAACTGGCAGCGCTGCAACATCACCCCGTGTGAAAACAGTATGTTCCAATCCCGAAGAACCTTCTGCAAATTCCCCACAGGGCATCAGGTGCAGAGAGCGGTCCCTGGGCCCAGGCCTGAGCAGGAGGCATTGGATCAGGCTTCCCAGGAACTGTGAGCTGGGGCTAGGGTTAGCTTCTTTCAGAGGGCTGCACGGGTGCGTGCAAAGATGTGTGTACACATACTCAGGCCACAAAGGGTGGCTGGGTGTGGCTTAAGGGCTGCCTCCTGGCCCTGAGAGATCCAGGTGCTGTTGGCCAAGTGCCAGGTGAAATCAGCCTCCTGCTGTGGCTGTTCGGCTGGTGCCCACAGGTCACAACTGAACAGTGGCTCTTTGGGGGCGGGCTACGACAGAGAAAGCAGTGTTAAGCAGCACATAGGGTGCCTTCCACTTGACAGGCCCTGCACCTATCGCAGCTCTGCTGGTCACAGAATATGATCCTGCTGGCTGCCTCCCTCCTGCCCTGCCCTTGGGACTGGCACTCCCTCATTCTCTCCCCCCTCAGGCCAACAGCAGCATTTATATCCCTGGTTTGGTGGGGATGTATTGTTTTCTTCCTCTGGACTCAAAACAAATTGGAGGTGCTTCCCCATAGGGAAGACGAAGTGAGGTAAACAAGAGGAAATTTGTACATGTTGCAGCGCTGTTTTCTCCCAAAAGGGCCTCCCTGAGCATCAGAGCCCAGGGCTGAGGCTGATGCCCCAGAGGCACACAGTTCAGGTTGCTTTCTCTACGCTGGGAGGGACGGTCTGGTCTTTGCCCTCCTGTGTGGTGCTAACCCCTCTTTGTAGTAGGAGCTCACCACACTCAGTACCAATGTTCAATGAAATCATATATGTCCACAACCCAAATCAGCACCAGTAGTGAGGAGCCATCCAGTCTATGCCAATACTGAACTAAAACGCCACAGTGTTCTGGTAAGGCCTGGTGAGGGAAGGCGTAGAGAGGCTTACCAGAGAATACAAGAAAATGCAGCTTCCCAGGGAAAGGAAGGTTCCCATTCTGGGGATGTGGCCATGAACCAGGGCCTCACTAACACGCCTCCTCAAAGTGGAAGAAATTCTAGTCCTTCTGGGAACCATCTCAAGGAGGAGAGTCACTTAATAAAATACCACATGAGAAGGAAAGCGTGTCTAGGAGGTGACGCGGTCCTACAGGAGGAGATGACAGGCACCCTCGGGAAGGGAAGGAGCTATCAGAAAGGTAGCAGAGCAGGCCCAGGGCAGGGCCCCAGCGTTCCTCTGCAGCTGCAGCCTGTTGGCAGCTGGGGGCAAGCGGCCGAGCCCCGTTGGAGCAAGGCCAGCTCAGAGGAGCTGGACAGCAGTGGCCCCTCCAGCGCAGGAGTCTGGGGGTGCCCAGGGCAAACCCCAGGAAGCACCTGCTTGCCCACAGCTTCTGTTTCAATGTTGCCTTTCTGTCCCCATCCCTCACCCGCTCCTTCTTTCCCAGTGGAGTGCAGAGATACCACCAGGTACTGCGAGAAGGTGAAACAGCTCAAACTCTGCCAACTCAGCCAGTTCAAGTCTCGCTGCTGTGGAACCTGTGGCAAAGCGTGAAGACGGGGCACAGGGAAGAACTCCACCCTGGCCGCACAAAGGACTCACGCAACCACCTTGAACAGAACTTAAGCTTTCTTCATTTTATTTATTTATTTCCCCCTCCCTGCCCCCAACCACACACCCTCATCCAACCCCCTCCCCCAGCACACCCCCAGACGTGAGGACCTCAGTATGTCTTCTCTTTCAGTTATATGGAGGACAGGATGTTGGGAAAGGACAAGGACAGAGGTCTAAAGGAGGTTGCAGAGCTGACCAGGCCAGATCGCCGGAGCTCCCTTGCAAACGTGGGTCCTGAAGAGACCTAGAAAGAGGCAGGCACAGCCCCTGGGGACAGCAAGGAGCCAGAGCTCCCAGCAGGCAGGAAGGCAAGGGTCCCAGATGGTTTGTAAAGCATCGGTCCAGACTTTGGACAACCAACTGGGTCTTTCCTGGTGGTGCACTGTTAACACAGGAATGTGCTGTCCCTCTCTCCTCCTCTGCCTTTGCCCCTCGGCCTTGGGAAGGGCAAGCAGAGACAGGGGACACTGCGCTGGGGCAGAACTCAGCTCTTCTGGTTTGAGGGGGCAGGGAGAGCACAGAGCAATGAGAACTCAGAACATGGACATGTGGGAGTCAAGGAGGAGACAATCCAAGTAGGCCTAAAGCGCGCAGGGCAGAGTGTGAGGTAGCAAGGGAAGAGGGGACAGAAGTGAAAAGAAGCCTGTGCGTGATCCTCAGTGGGGAAGTGGAGGGAGACGGGAGGAGTGAGCAGGCAGGAGGCCTGCAGACGGGCTCTGAACCTGCGTGTGAGCATGCAACCCTTGCATGCTCAGAGTTCCGCTGCCCTCACAGAGGGCTCAGGCTTGAGAGACGTGCCCTCCATGGGGTGGAGAGGAGTCCCTGCTCCCCACACTGTCTCAGTGACCTTTCTGCCACTGTACCCACAGCAGAACCACCCCTGGCATCTCTTTATGTTTAGAGTCTCCCGGCCTGGAACTCGTTTTCTGCCTGGATGGCCTATGCTGTCCCGTGTAAGGAGCGAGGGACTAGAGTCAATTTTCAAAAACCAATTCATTAACCAGTTTGCCAGAGAGCAGCCACCAGGTCGTAGCGACCACTCCATTCCAGAGCTGGCCAGGGTGTGAGGTGGGCAGCGGTCCCAGGCACCTCCCAGACCACAGTGGGAGCTGCCCTCCTCTCTATAGAGCCGGCTGGGGCAGGGTGATGGAGTGTGGCAGCAAAGCCGAAGGGTAACTAACTAAAGCTTCCAGGACTGTTCTCAAAGGCTTTCCAACCCATTCCCCCCACACAGTGAACTGCTAGACATCAACATATACCAGTTTTGGTGATTTGGCAAATGGCTCATTCAGCAAGTGGCTTTGGACAAGTGATTTTGGCCACCTCGCCGTGAGTGGCCACAGCTGAACAGTCATGGCAGGGCAGGGCGGCCAGAGCCACTCACCCTTCAGATGTAGGTGTGGTAACTTGTGAAGTGCCGCTCCCTCCAGAGCCGCTGCTGACACCAGGGCTGCATTTCCAGCCAGCCTGGACGGAGAAGCTGAGGGGAAGACAACGTTAAGCTGTGTCCTCCCCAGGTGAGCTGTGGACAGTGAGGTGGGTTTCTTTCTTCCTCACCACAAAAATGGGCTCTAAGGAATCATGTTACTAAAAAAAAAAATCAGTGTAATGTTTATTTAAAATAAAAGAGAATGTTTTCTATGTATATCTTTTTGTGAATATTTATTAGGATTTCTTGTATAAAAAAAGTGCAATATTAATAATTGTACATTGCCATCCAGAAAACATAGTATTTGGGGGACATCTTAGTTACTTTCTGCAGTTTTGTTCCTGTAAACTCAGTGGTGATTATTGTATTGTTTCTATTTTTAATGGAACCTGATGTTTAATTCTGGATCCATTCACTGTGTACAGAATGCATTGTACAAACTAACATGGGGCGATGGGGCAATAAGAGGGGGTTCATTCGTGACACAATAGTTACACATTGAATGAAGAAAGACAAATTCTATACTACTACTAATGTGGCTTATTCTGTCTAGTTCAATAGCTATTGAAAACCAATGGCCAATATTCACATTTCCACAAAGCAGGTGTCCTCCAGCTCTGCCATGTGTCAGGTTGGACCCTTTGGAAGTGGGTTTCAGGACAAGCTTAGAGGGCCTGGGTTTGGGGTAGGAAGCCGCATGCTCCTTGCATGACATGAATGTTCACTTACTGTTTGTTCTGTGAATTGTGACTCAGCAGCACCCCAAGATTATTAGCGCTGCTGAATAATGTGGAAGGAGGCACTTCCTCCTCTAAAACACAAAAGTGTATTTATATTTTTTTTGTACAGATAATACAGCTTATTTATTTAAATCGTGGTGTCTGACTCTCTCTTAAGCTCAGCTGTGCCATCTTGTTTTGTGCAGGGGGAGAGGGTGGTACCCAGCCACTTATGTGTGTTTGGCTGAAAAGGAAGGATTGTAGTCTCCAGACCTGCATGGGAGCAGGGGGCCTCTGCCTGGAAAGGCCAGCTCTGTAAAAGGACCCAGAGGAGCTATGGTTGTAGATGCGCATGTATTCAGACTTAGTGCTGTCCTTTGACAGTCATCTGAGTTATGACCCTATGTAGTAGGAAGATGGGAGCCACAGGTACCTTTACGAAGAAAAGCAAGCAAAGGTACATGTAGGTAGATGGAGACTTGGGTGCAGGAAGAGTCTCACCCCAGGCTTCCTGCGTGCACAGTGAACACAGTGAACACTGTGAAGTAACTGCGTGCTAAAGTTGTGGATGTGCGTTATTGGCAAGGGCTAACATTCATAAATCGCTGCTACATTTAATCCTCACATGAACCCTATGATTACCCCATTTACATATGGGCAGATACATAAATAGAGATAAGCCCAGAGGAGACGAATGTCACCCAGCTGGTGGACCGGATTCAAACTGGAGTGGTCTGGCTTTTTAGCCAGAGCCTTGCTCTTATCCACTATGCTCTCTCCAGCTCCTCCAAACAAGAGCCGACCACACGTGTCCACCTTGGCATGTGCCCCCATTCTTCCCTATTGCTTGGAGGTTGGTAGAGATGACAATAGCACATTTTACTGGAATTGTCATTTTCTCATCCCCTAAAATCAATTACGGCATTCTTGGGCTCCTAGCTCCCTATTTTTAAATAAAGCTACTGTAGGAAGTGTTTAAAAACAAAAACAAAAACAAAGCATATTACAGGGTTCTTCATAAACAGGCTCTGGTGAAAGTGCAGCATGTGCCCGGGCCCAGATGATGGCCATGCACAGACCGTTGTGGGAGATGCTCCAGGGGACCCCCAGCCTGAATGCTACCCTCCATCCTGTTTCCCAGCAACTGACCTCAGCACATCACACCCTGTTGAGCAGTATAAAAATACACCAGAAAGCTCTTTTTGAAATGCCAATTATTCCCTAAGGGGTTTTAGGTCTTGCTTTAAAGAAAAAGCCAATGCTAGAATTAAGAATACATACCCGCAACCAAAGTGCTACAGAAACTCCAGTGGAGGGGGAATGAGTCAGATGCCAGAGGCAAATGCCAGGAAAGCTAAATGTGGGAAGGGCTCATGCAGATCATATGGAAAATTTTCCAGCCAAAATGACAGAACAGAGCAGGGAGTGCCAGAGTCCTACCAAGGTGCCACCAACCACAGTGTGAAAGTTTGGGATGTTAACCCCAGGCCAGTCCTGGGCGTGTAACTCCTCACACTAGCATCCCCTGCTAGGCCCAGATGTTTCCAGGACTTTGGCATGATGAGCCCAAGAAATCTGTGAATCCGCTGAGACCAGAATGGGCAACAATCACCACAGCTCATTTATGCCTCAGCTTCTTACCTTTAAAAGACGATATCTCATAGGATAGGGTTGTTGTGAGAAAACTGACTTCATGTCAAGGAAATATAAGGAGGCCTGGCATATCACTGAAGCACTCACTGAATGCTAATTGCTATTATCATCAACAAGTAGCCTTAGAGAGACAGGGGGATGAAGGACAGAACTGGCAGAAACACCACTTCACTTCCCATTGTGAGCATTGAAAGATTTCCTCATGTTTCCATTTTTGATTGAGGACAGCAGTCATGCCTTCAAAGTTCAATACTATGACAACAGTGTAAACTAGAGAGACATTAGTGAAGCAAGCTCCGTGTTTTGGAAGAAAACAGATCAGTTCATGTAGCAAACTCAAAGATTCAGCAAAATACTGACAAACTTCCAGAAATACCCCCAAAGACAGACTTTATCTTATAATCTAAATGTATTGCCTAGTCTCAATTCAAAATACCCAAATGTATACAAAAGTGTTGTTTCCTTTCATTTGCTTTTAAAAAATTGAGAAATACTCATTCATGAACAAAATACAAGCAAAGTAAAAGCTAAAAAATAAAACTATTTCACTTATCATGTGGTAGATTTTCCCATGAACAGCACGCTATTATCCTCACATCAGGTATTATCTTGCAAATAAACCCAAAGGGAACAATCCATTTTTATTAAGGGTTCTCATCTAAAATGAGACGTTAGGTCTCACTAATTATCTGTGGGGCTCTCCAAAACAGGCAAATTCATCCACAAAGGATAAGGGAAAGGTTGGGTAGAGAGACGAATGAAGCTTTGGAGAATAACCTAGTGAAAACTGATATGTTTGATGAGTTAACCACCAGAAGGATAAATTAAGAAACAAAATAAGGTGACATCTCCTTGCTTTTGTCTCTCCCTGTCCCTTATTTTATTCAATGAGCCAGATAGGATTTAAAGACTTCAGGATTCAGGCTCAGAATGCATTGAACGTGAGTTAAATCAGGGAGAGTTACTGACCCATGTCACACACTGCCAATAAAGAAAATGGTGTTAATGAAAACCTTGACGTGAACAGTAAAACTATTGGATTAGCTAAAAAAATTTTTTCCCCATAAAGTGGATCTAGTAGCACTTAGTTGTCTTTAACTTCATTCAAAACAATTTTCTTAGAGAGTATGGTGACAGATGTCATATCAGCATTTTTAAAAGAAAAAAATCAAAATTGGGAAATTTTGTGTAGCCTTATTGAAGATGGAAGAAAATAAGCAACACTTTTAGTATATTATGCTCTCTTATTTCAAGATAAAAACATAACTGAAACACACGAAAAATTGTGCAGTGTATGGAGAAAGTGCTGCGACTGATCTAATGTGCCAAAAGTGGTTTGCAAAGTTTCATACTGGAAATTTCTCACTGGATGATGCTCCACGATCAGGTAGATCAGTTGAAGTGGATGACAAATCAAGACATTAATTGAGAACAATCAACGTTACACCACACGGGAGATGGCCGACATACTCAAAATAGCCAAATCAATAAAGTAATTGGTGAAAATGAAAAATGTCTCTTATTTAACAGAAAAAAAGTAAACAGGCTTTTCTGGCCAACCCAGTAAATACCCAGTGAATTTTTTTAAAGGATATTTTATTGATCATGCTATTCTAGTTGTCCCAGTTTCTCCCTACTTTCCCCCTTCCACCCAGTGCCCCTCTTCCTTCCAGCAAACCCACTCTTTAGTTCATGTCCATGGGTCGTACACATAAGTGCTTTTGGCTTCTCCATTTCTTATACCATTCTTAACATCCCTTTGTCTATTTTGTACCTACCTTAATGTTGTATGCTTCTTAATTCCTGTACATTTTCCCCCATTACTTCCCTTCCCTTTCCCCACTGATAACCCTCCAAATGATCTCCATGTCTATGATTCTGTTCCTGTTCTAGCTGTTTGCGTAGTTTTTGTTTTTTAGATTCAGTTGTTGATAGTTATGAGTTTGTTGTCCTTTTAATAGTCATAGTTTTGATCTTCTTTTTCTTAGATAAGTCCCTTTAACATTTCATGTAATAATAATGGCTTGGTGATGATGAGCTCCTTTAACTTGACCTTATCTGGGAAGCACTTTATCTGCCCTTTCATTCTAAAGGATAGCTTTGCTGGATAGACTAATCTTGGATGTAGGCCCTTGTCTTTCATGACTTCGAATACTTCTTGCTAGCCCCTTCTTATGAGCCAAGTTTCTTTTGAGAAATCAGCTGATAGTCTTATGGGAACTCCTTTGTAGGTAACTGTCTCCTTTTCTCTTGCTGCTTTTAAGATCCTTTGTCATTAATCTTTGGCATTTTA